ATAATGAAACTAGGTAAAACATATGGTCAGGTACTAAACACTCCTGTGAGGGATGATTCCATGGAAAGAGGGAAGTGAACTTTTGTGGACAATGCGAAAATCGAAACCCATGCCTCCATCTAGCGGTCAAGAGGAAAACTTTAGCATTTCCAAAAAAAAGCATTCTACGTGCAACCCGGCACATTGGATCATCGCGTCAGACTGATATTGGATCGATGATGGAATGGCAATATTTGGAAGCCAATATTTAGCCGGTATTTGCAATAATGGCAAGCTGGAAAAACATCGTGCCAAATGTTGGTCCAGCACTGACTCCATAGCTGGTGTTTCTCTGGTGATAACACTGAATGGGTTCTTGGACGTTTCTTGAAATACCTCGTAAAAATTATATTCCCTAATTGCGATGCATGCTCTATGATACTGCCATAAATATTATTTTAAAAATGCAATTTATGAAAATATAATAATGTCATATCACTGCTATAATGCTCACGCAACGTTGGACTCTGACATTCAACGTCGATGACATTGTATTGACCCTAGGGGAACGTTCCGACAATGCTACTATGTTTGCTTGGCAGTTCGGAAGAATGGAATTATTCCACTAAAATCGTTCGGCGATGCAAGTGCTGATTCATTGAGGCAGCAGCATTGAAATTGTCTGGCAGTTGGCATGCACATAGTGAAAGCATATACAATTGTGTATATGCTTTTGTGATATTGTGTTTCTCCTTTGCTGAATAAGCATATTAACTTCTTACTGAACACGCTATCTTATGACAAGTCACTATAGACAAGGATATCGGAAAAGGGCGTATGGACACTTATGTCCTTTACCCAGAGAACTCCTGAATTAGTAGGGTTGCAGCACATGAAAGAAGGCCATGACTCGAACATCTCATACAGGGTGATGCACTTGTTCTATGGTCCCATGGTATTCAAATGAAACTAAATGTTCGAATTACTACGTGAATATAAGAGACAATTTCCACCATCAAAGACCCTGCTATTTGCCTACTGTATGTGCTTATTTCCTATAGATTATGTCCCTTGGCATTCAAGTGAAACGCACCCTTTGAATTAGGAAAACCAAAGTGTGTGGGATGAAAGATCGAGGATGCCTCCCTAAACCGTGAGTGCAGCAACTTAAAGCTCAGAAAAGGAAAGATGTCGGCTCGATTGGATCGACCCGAAACTTGGATCGGGCGTGTAGTTTGGTTTGCAATCGGGTTTTCAGTCGAGTATGAGGGGAAATCAGACACAAAGAGTTCTGAAGCTTGGAGGTCTAAGTGGCCTGTGGGCTGACCCGAACTGCCCGACATGATCCGCGGGACGGATCCCCAAAGTTCTGTCGGTGATCGAAGTTCGGGTCATGTGCGGGTCAAAATTCGAATCGGGCCGATTAGGTCGGAAATTCGATCCATGGGAGCCTCCGACGGAGACGACGGCGTAGGGTCGGGGTGGCCGCTTGCCCTCCCTCCCTACTCTTCCTATCCATGCCACGCTTATGGACAGAGAGACTGACAGAGAGGTAGACAAATGCCAGGTACAATTATACGGTACAGAAGGCGTTACATGAATAATTGATAGCATATCTGTATCAAGAAAGAAGCCTTCGCCATCTCTGGCTAATGCAGGGAATGAGACGTTTATCCTACGCTTTCGAGCAATTTTGTGGGACTCGAAATCTTGTGCAATTGCGTCACGGATTGTGCAATGCTGGCGAGAGGGAGAGGGGAGAGTTTGGAATAAATCACAGCACTTGAGCATTTTGGCTTCTGGACATTCATAGGAAATGTTCTTCCTAATGCAAACTGGTCTGATGAGACTGAGATATAGTCATATCGTCTACTTTTATGCTGCCTTATATTCCTTGTGCGCACCACCTGTTGACACTCAAAGAGGGAGCTGTAGCAGTCGGATTAGCTATCATGAAGGAAAATGAGCCTTTTTTAGGGTTGTAGATGGGGGGGCAGGGGATCACAAGCAAGGGACAGCCACTACGAGCAGCTTTAGACCGCCGCGTACTGGTGTGCAGGAAAGGCAGGGAAGAGTAAAGTGTTTCTACGCGAATGCACGCAGCTTACGTAATAAAATAGACGAGCTCAGGGGGCGGGCACTGGACAACGGTTTTGATGTCATCGGAATAACCGAGACTTGGGGAGGTTCTCACATTTCGGATAAGGAATTCGAGATCGAAGGATACGACATCTT